GCAGCATTTTGGATCAGCTGAAGGCTTTTAACTACAGTTTGTGGACTTCCTGATAGTAAAGAATTACAATAGTCCAGCCTTGAAGTAACAGTGAAGACGTTTGATGTCAACAAATAATAGAATAAATCAGATGATTATTTTCTTTTTTAAATTCATTCAAACTAAGAACCGTTTTGGTCTTTAATGAGTAACAGCATCCATCATGTTTCCTGCTTGTTTCAGCAGATGTTAGACTTTAGATCGTCTTCATGGTTCTGCTATTGAAACACGCTGCGCTTCCTGTAGCTCAGCGTGTTCCATTGCCTTTAACCCTTTAACCTCCATCAGGTGACCATTATCCACTAGTTAGTTCAGGTCATTTCTTCTACCCTCAGCTGACCCAGAGGGACTTCTAGGTGATAAAATCTATTTTCTAAACCAGATTCCATTTTTTCTCTTTCATTTTTCCTCATATTTCCTTCCTACTGCAGGCGTTTAACTGCTGTTTTATATCTAGTTGGTTCTATAGATTTGATCCTGTCTCCTCCACGCCGTCTCCGCCCCGCCCACGTACGTCGTGCGCAGAGAAGTTCCGGTTTATCAAATTTAAATCTAGTAACAATGGATTAGTAACTACAAATCATAGCATAATTCTTATATATTCCCGAAACTAAGACTATTTAATTAAATTACTGGATGCAAACTATTTGTACTTCAACATACCAGGAAGCAGATTTCTCATTTTAATCAAAATGTTTATTTTATACTGAGAGGATTAAAAGTTTCATCAAATCCAGTCAAAACTAATTTCTTATATATGATCCTAATTATCTCCGTTTCTAAAATCCACAACAAAAAGTAAATATTTGGGCAGAAACTGAACATCTGCTGGATGCTGATGGGGATTTTTTTAATACGTCATATTAAATTAAGCGTTCGTTTCTGCATATTTTGCTTCTATGAATTTAATAATAATAATAAAAGGAGCCGCGGAGGCTGTAGGCCTTTCTTTGCGCAGGCGGTCTGGAGCGGAGCGGTGGCGGAGGATGTGGGATTCAGGGGTAACACGGTGGCGTTTAGATCAGCGGAGACTCGATTTCCCAGAAGCCTTTGCTGCTGTTGCCTGTTGATAATTAACTCTGATGTGCTGCGATGTTTTCTGCTCCGGTTGTGAGTCCGTGAGCCGAAGCAAAGCGAATAAACGGCTTCAGGACCGACATGTGACGCTGCGCTTGTTCCTCAGGGCGGCGGAGGCTGCAGGGCGCCGGCCTCTACCAACCGTCTCCCTACGTCAGCTACCCCTTCTTCATGATCCCGGACCTGGGGAACCTCTGCAGCCCCTACCTCGCTAACGGAGCGCTGACCTCCAGCGGCAGAACGGTAAGACGCCGTCCAACTACTTCGTCAATGAACAAATCTGTGAATGTGAACTTGAGTAACGTTCAGAACCGCTGTTCTGTCAGTCCAGCATACCCTCAGTAATACGCATCACATAGCGTCCTCTGTCTCCGCTCTCCTTACAGCCAATCACGCTGTTCTATTTCCTGATTTAGTCACATTTTTGTCATACTTTTATGCATAAAACCACAAAAAAAGTCCTTATCTACGTCCACTGCACTGATTTTAACAAGAATGTCTTAAGGATTTTATATAAATTAACTCATTTTCATTTTAATATATAAGGCTTGTGCTGTCCCTGGAAAATTACATGATAAATAAAATAAAATTGTACATTAATTTGATCATGGATTGAACTATTCCTTTAATCCCAACATTGAACAAGATTATTATTCCAGTTTTTATTACGGCCTTCCTAATAGGAGGCATTTTGCTCACATTTGATTCACTTTAAATAATCTTCCTTCTGCTGCGCCAAGCCGCTGCATCCAGGATGACATCATGTCCATATCATCAACGATTGGCTGGGCAGGAGGTGCGTTTTGCTCACGTTGTGAAGATGGCTGCAGGTGCAGCTAGAAGCTTCTCTAAATACACTTTAAACTACTTCAACCGGCGTGGATCCCTTTAGTTTGGTACGTTTTGGTGTTTTTTAGGGCGATCTGACGGCTCCTCCCCCATTCTATGTGTATGCTGGCCTGACGCGGTATGCTGAGCTGACAGAACAGCAGGTCCGTTTCTCAGTCTGTGGAACCCGTTATGGTTGCAGCGTCTGTAGAGTCTGCCGCTCCGACAGGAAGTGGCTCCGCCCGCTAACGTCCATCCAGGGTTTGGGTCTTGGTTCTGAGCGACACAGAGGTTCTGGTTGGGCTTTTCTGGAACCAGGAGGATGAAGGGAAGCCTTGATGCTCAGATGGCAGCATGTTGAGGTGCTGCAGTGGCCTAGTCAAAGTCCATCCCTAATGCTCTGTGTCTGATGCCTGCAGGGAGGCAGACAGACCCCTAAAGCCCAGCAGCTACTGGTTAAAACCCAGTTTATCAGAATCTTCTGCTCCTTCTGTTTGCTTTGAAGCATTAGTTAGAAAACCTGAAAACAGATGAAATCCTCTGCAGAGTTGGAGGAAGTTGAGGCTCGACGTCACAGAAGTGGAGTTTCTCATGAGGCCGAACATTCAGCTGCTTCTTCCAGGCGGAAGGAATCTGAGCGTCGGATAGACGCCTGCAGGCTGTGCGTTCATCAGGCGGGTTGTAACGGGACGCGTCAGGCAGGCCCGGACACGCTCTGCCTGCAGCAGGAAGGAGCTCTGATTGCCCCTGATTCGCTGCAGCAGATTAGCTGCTGGGGGCCAGAGAGGCAGGATTTGCAGAGTGTTGCCCAATTTCCCGTCCCGGCAGCTTTTTGGAGGATAAGCTGGATTAGGGGCTTGGTGTCTGATGGTTTAATCCGTCTCTGCCTCATTGGAAATGTGTCCTCTGTGGAAGTGGGAGTGATTTGTTATTAGAGCCGATGGCTGCAGGCCAAACGTGGAGCTGTTGGTGGACTCGGAGCTCAGGCTGAGCAGCAGTCTGGTTCCCATTGCTTCTGTCTTCCTGGAGGTCTTCCTCTGTGTTGGAGCCAGACATGCATGCAGGATGAGCCGCGATCGGCCTGAACTCTGACCATTATTGAAATAATCATCAACTAATTCAGTAATTGATCAATCATTAGCTGGAATACAGAGACTCTAAAACATGCCTTAAGCTGACAGATCGACCCAATTATCAAGATTATATGAAGAAAAAATATAAACATTTTGCATTTAATTCAAACCTTTTCTGTGTCGATCTGCTCCATCCAAAACTCCACATATGGAAAAGTTTTAGTTTCACCTGATTTCATTTAGCAAAAAATATTCTTTAACAAACCTTTACTGTCTGATTATTAATTGATTAGATGAAAAATAATTACCAAAAAAAAACAATTAGCAAAGTAATCGTTAGTTTTGGCCACAATCCGAATGGCGCTCAAACCGGTTCTGTTGGAGACCTGGATCATCCCTGAACCCTCAGGTAGCCTCCACAGGAAATATTATTTATACTGAAGACTAATATGTTTGCTGTGATTTAATGAATTTAGTGTTAATCACTAAAAAAATCAAAACAATCATTTTCATCGTGATCACAGAGTCTGGGAGCGGCCATTTTTGCCC